TTTTTTTTTTTTTTTTGTGCTTGTGTACTAATAAAGTGTTTATTAGCTTGGGTGTGTGCCATCTGCCGCTCCACATCTACGGCCGTCCTCCGATCTCTAAAACAGTGCAGAACAAAGACAGTCATAATAAAGCCAACTCACAACACCAACTATTCCGGCCAATATGGCTGCTTCCTTGATCTGGTAATCCATTGTACAAGTGGGTGGTGTACGTTTGACGTTTACAATAAAACAATGGACTATCCCTTCAAGGTTAACCAAGCTAGCCACCCCGACAGTGATGTTGACCCTACTATACATGATAGCATCATTATGTCGCAACTGCTGCGATACGCTAGGATTTGTAGCATAATCCATAAATTCACGTGGTGGGCTAAACGACTTATCAGCATATATAAAAATCGGGGACATAACATTAATAGGATACACACAGTACTATTAAAATTTAGCTACCGTAATCAAGCCCTTTTGAGCAAGTTTTTTGATACGGACTACCAACGTATTAGGAATCTATGTCATACGTTAACAGAGTCAGCACTCATTACTAACCACAATACCCTAAAAACGCGCAATCGACCTGAGCTTAACTGATTGCGTTTGACTATTTCCAGCTGCTATGGCGTTATCCGGCTAGCCTCCCTCGAAGAAGACCAAAACTTAAGCCTTCCTCTTGCACGTTAATTTACTTTTTATTCTTACAGAATCTAACAATTCCTCTTTGCATCCTACATCATTCTCTTCTTCTCTTCTAAACTACCTAACACGTCCCCAGTTAAATAGCGAATTGGGGCACTATACTGATGATTCCCACCCCATTTCGCACCAGTTTAGTCGTCTGTGTTTACAGTTCAGGGATGAAGCACAAACGTCACTCAATGCAAATACCGGTTAGCTTAAATGAGATTGTAAAATTTGGCTTCTTCGCAGAATATCAAATAAACATAGTCGACTATCCCACTCCTCTTTTCTCATGTCGCTGCACTTTGCTAGCAGTAATGCTACACTTTCCGATAGATTTTTGTTCCATCCTGTGCCCAGTAAAACCAAATCATAAAGTCAACCTCTTTCGATGATGCTGCACAGTGCGCTGACTACTCGCGTACTGAGCCTTCCAATCGAGATGAAATCTCGTTCGTATGAGCCGCCTATGGCACCAAGTATCAGGAAACGCCATACAAGTGCCCTATCCGGTATCGTGTACCTTACGCCTCCAGCATCGCTGACCACCTGGAAACCTCTGATGGATGTGACTTCAACGTGGTTCTTGTCCCGCTAGACTACAACGCTAGGAAAGCGCCAGAGCAGTACACCAGTGTTTGAAAAATTACCTCGGCAGCGGAAGTGACACATTCCTTAAGTGGATTTTCTTGTGCTTCCGGTGCGAACTTCGAAAGGATGTCAATTAACTGCTGGACCTCGACGTGCCTGCTTTCGCCTTTCACGTTGGAATCAACAAGCAGCTCAGTTAAACTCTTCATTTGTGCACTCTGAAGCAAGTTATGATGAAAAGATCCCAGCTTCCAGTGCTTGAACAACGCGTAAGATCCGCTTTTGGCCGTAAACGCAAAGTTTCAGAACAAGCAAGAAGCATTTTTATTCGTTTTTTGCATCTATGCAATGCAGATAAATGGCCAGTGCACCGACTGCCGACGCGAAGATGCATTTTTTGGATAGTTCCCCGCAGCTTTTATCGCTATCGGCGCCGGTTTTTCCGGCAAATGCTTCCAGCTAAGCGAACTGAGACTGGCCACCAGGGCTGTTTGAAAACATACCTTTAAAATTCTAGCCTTCTAACTTTTCTGGTTTCCGAGTCAGCAACTTATCCGAAAAAAATTTTCTCGGGCCCGTACTGGGGATCACGTATACCAAATGGCTGGGTTTGAACTCATTAATACCTACTTAGACGGGGAACATCCCCTTGAAATTCCTGTTTTCTAGCTTTTCAGGTCCCCGAACTAGCAACTCCCCGAAAAAAATTATTTTGGCGGGCCCGTACGTTGGTACCACGCGGGTAAGAGCGCCCATTTTGGAAACTAGGGCCCACGCACATATGCAGATTAAGTTCCCAAAGTTTCAGCCCTGTAACTCTTGTAGGTCTCGAGATGAAAAGTCGGTACAGACGCGCAGCGCATACACAGACACACACACACACAGACAACCTCTCGTCAGTATGCGTTTTCCGCATTGGGCAGCTGCAAAAAACGCATAAAAACGCATGTTTACGAGAGGTTGTCCGTGTGTGTATCTGTGCGTTTGTGTGTCCATTTGTGCGTTTGTACGATTTGTCATTTCAAGACCTATAAAAGCTACAGGGCTCAAACTTTGGGGACTTAATCTACATGCTCGTACGGGCCCCAATCCTAAAAATGGGCGCTCTTACCCACGCAGTATTCATGTACGAGTTTGCCAAAGTTTTTGGCAAAGAAGCTGCTAACTTGGGAAAGCTAGAAACCTGAAATTTTAATGAAATGTTCCCCACCCAAGTAGGTATTAATGAACTCAAGTGTGCGTGATTCCAAGGCACGAGCCCGTGAAATTTTTTTTGGATATGTCACTAACTCGGGAATCTGAAAAGCTAGAAGACTGGAATTTTAAAGGAATGTTCCCCATCCAAGTAGGTATTAATGAGCTCAAAACCAGCCTCCAGTTTTGCGTAGTTCCATGTACGGGTGCATGAAAGTTTTTTTCGAGTAAGTTGCTAACTCGGGAACCAGAAAAGGTAGAAAGCTGAAATTTTAAGTTGCTGTTTCCTGACAGACACGCGGTCAGTCTTAATCCGTTTAACTAGAAGCATTAACAGGAAAAAACCGATGCCGTTAGCGACAAAAATCTGCAGGAAATTTTGCAAAAAACGCATCTTCGCACCGGTAGTCGGTACGCTCGCCACTTATTCAAACTGGCAATACCGTCGCCACGAACGGGCATTCCAAGCGCATGTAAGCACATATGAATGAACATCTGATGCGAGTAAATACGAAAATTTGAAAGCTGAAACATTAGAGACCCTCACTAATTTGACCACGTACGGCAACACAGGCAAGAAATCAGATTTTGGTTTCCTCTGCTCCGCTTACTTCTTTCGGTCTTCATTCCTTCGACTTGGTCACTCGAGTATGAACCAAGTCTCAAGCTTCCTATTAAATTTTCCTCCACTCCCAATTATCCTCCACTGAAAATTTGACTTCCATAGATAATATTTTCTTAATTATCGTAAATTTATATCTTACCACAACCGTCCTACTGAACAAGTCCAGTTGTGGCACTGGCAAGAAATGTATAAGACTTTGTGGATCGAAACATTCCTTTCCAGTTTACAGAAAATTTTCTAATTATGCGTTTTTGCATATATGCAAATTGCAGAAACACATATTGTGACAACCTATGGTGTGTGTTTGTGTGTGCGTATGTCCGGCTTTTCAACCCAGCAACCACGCATGCGCCGGCGCGGAAATTTTGCCAGTGGGTCCCCGACCAAGTGCCACCCACGAGCTCAGCACCAAACCTTACGTATGTCTAAGCCCTACGTACGATCACGCAAAAATTTTGGTTGGGAAATCGCTAACTCGGGAAATGGAAAAATTGGAAGGCCGAAATGTTCTCAACCCAAAAACAGCTTGAAGATTCCAAATTCAAACCTCAGGTGTGCGTGTTTCTCACGTACGAGAGAACTGCTAACTTGGGGAGCGGAAAAGCTGAAATTTTAAGGGGATGTTCACTGTCCCCAGCTAAAGATTCCAAGCGTGGTTCTTACGTATGGACGTTCAAAAGTTTTAGTGGGAAAATTATTCACTGGTCAACTAGATCATTTTCAAAAACTGACTATTAGACGGAATTTGTTTACCTTGCTTTATGCAAAATTTGCAATGATTTACGCTAGTGGCTGCACGAGGTAAATGCAAAACAAAACCATTTATATAGTTAACGACCTAACTGCTTCAGGTATAGTGCAAAAACGCATGATAGCGCCAGAACCTGGTGCGTTTCAGCTTAACTTTTACAATTCCACAGACCTTTCCTATCTAATTCGTAACAATTCTTTTTTGTTTTTACAAAATTAATTTAAAATTTAATTCTCCAAAAGCTTTGCTCAGTGGATGATGCAAATCTTCAGCTGGCCTTCAAAACTGGCCGCAACATGTGAATTCAGGCCTTAACTGCAGCTAATCCGGTAATTTCGGAACTGAAGATTTTAGATGACCATGCGAAGCGAAATGAACGACTGAAATGCAGTTAGTTTCAAGCTGCACTACCTCTTGACCGATAACAGAACGCCCAAACACAAGCTGAGACAGCAACTTAACAAAGAAGAATGTCATGCGATGAAATTTTTACGGTCTTCACAAAGGAAGTATTTATAACGAACTCTCATATGTAATGGCAGTTACGAAAGATCGGCTCGGCTTCGCTCATCTCGGCCGGCTTCGGCAGCTGCACGATTTGCCAATTGACTGGCAGATCATGTAGTGGGGGAGCAAGAGGAGGAAGCGGGAGGGGGGAAGGAGCGGGGAGCGGGAGGGAGGG